TAAACATAACCAAGGTTATGAAAGGAGGAAGTAAAGTCTATCCAGTTAAACATAACCAAAGTTAGGAAAGGAGGAAGTAAAGTCTATCCAGTAAAACATAACCAAAGTTAGGAAAGGAGGAAGTAAAGTCTATCCAGTAAAACATAACCAAAGTTAGGAAAGGAGGAAGTAATTTGATGCAAGTATGAGATGCTGGTAACTTGAATTATTTTATATATAAGAACATTCCATGTGTATATGTACGAGTGAGGTCACCTGCAGCAACCCACAGTTAGAGTCAAGATTATGTCATTTCACTTGTCCTATTCTTATATCTTTAACCCATAAAAACAATAGTGAATATAAATGTTTGAACTGTTCAATCATTGGAAGCAAATCTGTTATAACGTACAAGTACGTCTGATGCCATCTTGTTACAGATTTAGTTAAGTTACTTTGGTGTTAACTAGCTAGATCTTTCAACTTGTGGTGATTAAATATTCATCCAGGGGGTTTAAAAACCCAAACTATAGAGTATCTCCGAGTTAATGTAGATCACATCATATAGTTTTTACACACATAATTACGATAAACTTATACCATACGATATCCACAAAGTTAGTGTAAGATCTGAAAAATATTACCCAACAGCTACTAAAATGATATGTACCTTTTTAAAACAATAATAATGTTCAAATGAAAACTGATGACACTCACCTAGACAACCTTGGTTGGGATTTCCCGTAAACCCTTCGTTGCACTCACACTTAGCTCCATAATCAGTTAGCACACAGCCAGCATATTGTCCACAGATTTTCAAATCACAAGGATCTGTAAATCCAAACGTGTTAAGTTAATATCTACAAGCTTTCCAAGAACATACAAACTTTGAAACCTAGAACTACATCATTTATTGAAAATCCTACTTTATAAGCAGTCACAAAACACAGTTTGTTTTTTAGCCTTAGTGATTTTAATTGTTTGAGATACTATGAATCTGAAGAAACGTGTTAATGTAGTTTCTCGAAATTGTTTTGTAAACTCGTCCTTGACTCTGCATTGTTTTACTATCTCAGTTCTTGAAAATTTAAGTATAACAGATAGATGCATGTTTCATGATTATAAACATGTAATCCAAATAGCCACCAATTACCGCATAGTCTTTCAGGAATATGAACTTTGATCAAAAAGTAGTGAAAACAAAATCACACTCATAGCTTTCAAATGACTTAATCTATCATTTAAAAACTAATAATAACTTAAATAAGTATTCTTTAACATCATTTGATCATTAACAATAATATATTTAAACTTACGCTTGCAAACTTTTCCTTGTAACACATATGGTGGCAAGCAGTGACACTGGCCTTGGACACACTTCTGATTTTGAGGACAGTTATTCTCCCCATGACAAGGAATATCTATTAGAAGTGAAGCCATAATGATTACAAAACACTTTTATCTAATGATAAGCACTCAGTACTTTATTCTCAAAAATTATAACACACATAACTGCATGTAAATGTGCTTTGTATAAATTAACAGCACATTTACAATGTTCATCACACAGGAAAAAAAACTTGTGTTGAATACAAAGTCCACAATTTATGGTTCTGTTCCACCATCATTAACTCCATTATTTACAACAAACAAATTCTGACAATGGCCAACAATAAAAGACTTTACATGGTTTGGTAGCTTTAATCTACCATCATGAGCATAAAGCCGTCAAAACATGTAGAGTCTCTTAATGTTGGTCTTCGGCAAATAAAAAATTCTGTCGTTCATTCATTTTAAATGTTGATTCTGTTTTTATTTTGGTCAAAATCACTTTTAAGTTTCGGTTTTAATTTTTTAGTAAATGTTTCTAAATGCTACTTATTTATTGAAGAAAAAAATGGTTTACTGAGTAAATTTATTAATAAACTTTAAAAAAATTCGAGGGTTATAGCATTTATATTAGAAAAGTAGTTTAAATATTTCTACTACACAGCTGTAAAAAAATAGGTGGTATAAATATTTACATTACACACAGAAGGATAATAAAAATGCTTATATTACATAGTTGTAGAAGGGTAATAAAATGGGTTTAACATATATTTATCAAGTGATTCTGAAACGTAGTATTTAGCCAAACTACAAATTATTTTTCCAAAGTTTTGTTTGTTTGTAATTAAGCACAAAGCTACACATTGAGCTACCTGTGCTCTGCCCACCACGGGT